TGGTTATTGAGTACTTTATGCTAAGCACCCAAAATCTCTCACATGCATACACACACGCACAAAAAAAAAGAAGACTAGAACACTCAAAAATTATAAACAACAGCCTGACTAGAAAGCCAAATGGCAACAATTGAAAGAAAAAAGGAAAAGAGAAAAAGTTAAGGACTGAGTATAAAGTGGAGAAAAAAAGTGGAGAAAAAAAGTGATGAAAACGACAAATAATCATGACACCCCACATGTATGCACATCTGTGCAGACAGGGGAATAGGCACACGTAAGTGCACACATACCTTATGAAAAAACAAAAACAAAAAACAAACTTGCATCAATGATAAGTGGATATAAAAAAGAAAAACCAAGTATATGCAGAGTTGGGATGCTGAAAGTAACCTCTTACTTATATATTTAATTTATTGTATTTTAAGCTATGCTACCGTGATAGCTCTCCACAACTCTGTGGTTTAAATAAGTCTGTATTGCTACGATGTCACTTGTACAAATCAAGATACCGCTGGTTCAATTTGCTGTCCGAACATGTCACAATGTATATCCGTCTCTCCTTTTCACCGATTCAGTCAAATAGCCTCCTCCAGTTCAACCAATCAGCACACAACTTGCTATTGGTGGAAGCATACCAAACTGTACAAAAACCCTCGTTACTGCACATATTGCTAGACGGGAGAGTAATGCCATTTTCATAGGGCAAACTTGCTGATGTCACGTGCCACCCATTAAGGTGAGACCCTTATTTTCCTATGCACCAGATGCAAGCCACTCTGGCTTGCTTGCTTCTATGGGGCTGTTCACCACAAACTCCTTGATATTTGTAGGTGTAGCATCCTATAAATGTTGGGTTAACAAAGTGGCCAATACCACTCATCAGATGTCTCCAGAATGTTTTTCAAACCAATCCTTAGCACAGTGCGTTATCTTTCTGGAATAACCTATTGTTGTTGGGGTACACAGAGTCCATGATTAGATGCAAATGATCACCAAGTAGTGTAGGATTGTGGTAGCTGGTCAATGATTTAGGCAAACTAGTAAGACCTAACTCATGAAACCATAACCATTCTGGATGGACCCTTGTTGGCAAAAAGGATTCATGGCCTCATCTAATCTGCAACACTCCCAAGCTTTACCACCAGCCCAAACTAAAATTTTGACTAATTGGAGCACCCCACATATTCCTAAGCCTCAAGGGTCCAATTTAGTGATATCACAAGCCTGGATGAGGAGCTGTATTTGGTATCATGGTGTTAAAAGAACTATCCTGATGGGTCGTCTCCTTTCATATCCCAGTGAAGCTAACCCATGACATGCCAGTATATCTTCTTTTATGTACCAAGTACTTTTAGAATCTAGGTGATCATGGCTCTCCATAACTTTTGTTGCTCTAAGTAACTTTTGACCCTTTACCATCACTCTGTCTTTGTTCTGCCACCCCTTCATAAAGGCTCATTCAATTTCTTACTCACTGTTTCACCCTGCTTCTCTTGCCTTCAATATGTCCAGTGTTAAATTCTCCAGGCACTCTTTCCTCATGATGCATCTTGGAAATTTAAACTTTTTCTGATTGCAAATACAAGTTTCCTTGTAGTTACGATTTTCCTAAAGACTTCCTCATTGCTAACATGTTCAATCCATGGTATTCTTAGCATCCTTCTGTAGAAATGCATCTTTGTTGCATGTCATCTACTCTTCATCTGTGAGGAAATTGTCCAGCATTCACTGCCATATAGGCAGATTGATATTACAACCCACTTTTCTTTGTTCCTAACTATAAATTCATATCTCTTAATACTTTGATTATATATAGATGGAGAGAAAAAGAATATAGATGAATTTGGCTAGATTGAAAAAATATTCTTTCAAAAATTTTGAAACTACCAGCATCTCTCATTTTGTGCATATGTGTAGTTGTGGCAACATCAACAAAGCCTAGTCTGATGAAGTCCTAATGAATGAAACACATCACAAAAATTTTTTTTCCAATTTTACATACAATTTTCTCAATACTATTTCTTGATAAATAAAGTTTATATATATATATATATATATATATATAGGCACATTTGTAAATATTTACTAGGTAATTTTAACATATTTGAGAAGGATATTAGAATAACCCAGAACCTATATTGGCAGCAAACTGTTTGGACTTATTCAATCTATACAGTAAGGTGATTCTGAAAGAATTAAAATTCCTACCAGGATTCATTATTATTGGTTACAATTTTTACAATATAAGATATGCAGATGACACAGTGCTGATAGCATAAATAGAAAAGAAACTGCAACAACTCCTACAGAAGGTAGAGAAAGAAAGCAAGAAGAAAGGACTAAACCTCAATTGCAAGATAAAATGCAAGGTTAGCATAGAAAAAGGAACAGCCCAACATGCAAATTACAAATTGGAGATAGCAAAATCAAACAAATACTTCAATTTAAATATCTGGGGAGTTTTTTTAACAGTAGACAGAAAGTGAGACACAGAAATGAAAAGGCACATTGCGGTAGTGAAAGATGCCTATCAAATTATTAAAAAATAAACCCCCAAAAAACAGGAAAATTTTGTTAAAAACAAAGAAAAGCATACTTAACTGTCATGTAATAATATTCCTCCTATATGACAGTGAATGCTTAACAATTTCCTCACACATGAAGAAAAGATTTGAAGCAACAGAAATGTGGTTCTACAGAAGGATGCTGAGAATACCATCAACAGAACATGGGAGCAACAACAAAGTTTTAGAGAAAATGAAATCAAAAAGAACACTTACACTGATCAGAAAGAGAGAGTTGATAATTCTAGGGCATATAATGAAGAAAGAAGACTTGGAAAATTTGATACACCCAGGGCAGATTGAAGGCGAGAGAGACACAGAGGAAAACAACACAAAACCTACCTAGCGAGCATGAGTAAATGGATGGTAGAGCAAGGTTTAGGAGAGATAATGAAAAGACAAAATTTATTCAGAACTATAAAAGACAGAAAATTGTGGAGAGCCATGATTGCTAATGTTCTGGAGGGACATAGTATATAGAAAATGCATACCTGTCTACATATTTACACATCAATAAATTTATGGTTTAACTCGAAAAGCCAAATGATCATTGTTAACATTGTAAGATGATTATAGAATCAAGCTGAAAATTACACTGTATATGACTTGCATATGGTGACAACCACTTTGATTAAATGAATGAGATAGAATCTTTGCAGATGGAAAAGACTGGGAAGTTTCAGGTTTGGTTATTACTAATTACAAAATAAAACCCAATAAGAATTGATTGCTATGGCTTGTCACTGTTTATCTATTATAATACATCAAGAATAATTATAGATTTCTTTATTGTTTTTCATCCTAATGTAAATCTATATGATGTTTTTCACAAGGTCCTTTCTAGCAATAATAGGACAGCTCCTCAAGAATCACACAATTATACTCAGCAAAACAAACTGTAAACAATGATTACAAATTTTAGAAGCTCTTCCTATTAAGTCAAGGTAACCAACAATTAACAAAAATCACCAATGATTCTGGAATAGCTATTTTTAAATGTATTTAAATTCTTAACATCTACATGATATCATGGGTAAGCAATACCAGAGTTTCAAAACTAAAAAATATATCACAGCATAAACACATACATCTCATATTGTCACACAAAATTTGAATTTCATTTAAATTCTTTCTTGATAATGTCTAAAACCAGTTGGAACAAGAACTAACAGAAACTGTAGATGGTTCCTTGGTACCTTCAAGGAAAAACTAACCTTCCAACAATAGAAACATTAAAAGAAATACGATCGATACAACCTGTTTTTAATAAAAGTTGTCCAAATAGATAAATTATATATATTTAGGCAATCAGAATTCATCCAAATTTTATTAAAATCATCCAACTGTTTAATTTTTTATGACACCTTTTCCAATTTGTGTATTCAGACTAGAGTTATGAGATATGGATTTCAAAAGATTTTATTGAGAGATGTATTTTCCTTCATAAGGGCAAGTGAGATGTGTTTCTTCATGAAATCCTTCATAGTTAAATGCATACTGGATTATATCGCAAAGATTACTTAATGTCTTGACCAGCATGCATATCTGATGATATATATTTGAAAGGGATGCTGAAACATTATAAGCCTAACAAAGATGAAATAAAAAAAAAAAATCTTGTTTGATCATATTTTGGGAATTGGGTCATGCTGACAACTGTTCCATACCTCTGTATGCAGGGATATGCAAAAGTACTGGTCATAGTGGATTTTTAAAAAGAAAACTTTTTTTTTTCTTTTTATTACTGCAAGCCTAAAACCAGAGTTGAATGTAGTAAATACTTGGGATTTTTTTATGTATCAGAGAAAATAAAGAAATATTGGCTTATATATAAAAGTTACTAATAAATAGAACAGGAAGTTATGTTTTTTTAATAAATTACTTTGTACAGTTTTAATCTGATTTTTAAATTCTTATTTACTATATTTGTTCACACAATGTAAGATGAAAATTTTGTCATCTATGGTTTTTACATTTGCTGTATCATACTATATGTGTGATCAATTTAAAATGTTTTTTTTAATAAATCCTACCTGTGATATCATGAGTTGGTAAGAAAAAGTCTATATTCAAATTCATTACTGCATTTATAACAATATAAACAATTAAATGTCTTTCAAGAGAGACTGTAACATACAACCTTATTTTATAGAGAAAACCATTATAAAATTGTATGAGAAATTCAAGCAACTTAAATTACTTAACAAGCCTGTAAGAAATGTGGAATTTAGTTGAATGGAGAATGGATGATAAAGAATCATTAATAAAATCAATTAAATGGAATAAAAACTAACAGCAATGTCTGAAATACACTTCCTGAAGATAAAACTTACAATGGACATTTCTTTTGTGTAGTCGCAATTGTTGGTCTGCCTTTGTCTTTGAATTTCCTTTTTTTTTTCTTAACAGAAATGGCTGCCAATTTATTTTAGTTACAAGAAACAAGATATAATATGATGTGAAAAGAATAAAGGTTGAAGAATGAAGAAAATAGAAAAGACTACAATAAATAATGATTGAAGAAAAGAACAAAAGTGAAAAAGAAACAAGAAAGGAAGAAGAATTCAAGGGAAAAAGAAACAAGAAAGAAAGATAACAAAAGGACAGAAGAGAAAAAATGATAAAGAAACATGAATGAAAAACTATAATCAAAAAAGAAAGTAAAAAAGGAGGCAATTTTCTGAACCACCCAATGGAGAGATGTTATAAATTGTTGTTTAAAATATTTTCAACAATCCACATAATAGGACAGAGAAAGAAAGGAGAAAAAAAAGCAATGTTTTATTTTTTTTCTTCATTTGACTGATTTTTAGAGAAGGAGCAAAATACTATCTTAATTTTCTTATCGGAAACAATTGTGTCACATTTGTATATATGTTATAAGGCGGTGGACAAACTGTCAGTATACAGTTCTACCAATGGAGGATTCTCAAAACATTTAGTTTCTTTTTGGATAAAAATAAAAGCAGAATATCTTGAGGTTGGTGAAATGGCTTTAAAAAGCCACCTTTTATGAGACCAGCTTCTCAGTCAGGAGATCTATTCAGACAAAATACAATGGGTATATATTCTCAATTGTGTGTGGTATTGTCTTCAATTGAACCAAGATTGAATTGCAAAGAGAATGTAGGCTCATTCTTCTCTATTACAAACATGCCTATATTATCATTTCTAATCTACTTTACTCATTAGAATTACTCATTCCAAACATATTAATGTAAAATAAAATGTTTTATAGAAGGTTTGTTTATTTTTTTGTAATGTTGTTTACAAAACAAATTTAAAAAAGTTAACTCCTTTTTTATTTTAAATCAATTTACCTCAAGCAAGGTGTTAAAGCCACTAAGACTCAAAAGGTTGTTGGGAGTGGAAGAGAATGAGAAGACATTAATGAGGAGAAAGGACAATAAAAGAACAGGTTTCAGGAAGACAGAAGATGGTGATTGATGTTGCATTTTCATTTGTGAAGATTGTAGGTGGCTGGGAAGCAGGAAACCGAAAGAGAGTTTCACAGGCAAGAAGTGAGGGAAAAAAATTGTTAGAATAGAACTTAACAGTTACATCTAGCTATTTCAACAGTAAAATGATGAGAACTAGTAGCCAAGTATGTGAGATCATGCAGTTTGAGGCCTACTGGATACAAGATAGAGGATTTGTGGTTGAAATGTCTGAAGTATGAACTTATCTGGTAGGCTAGAGAGCCATGTTACCAGATATGAATAAATAAAAAAAAAAAAGAAAATTATTTTTTAAATAATGATTCTTCTTTTTCATGTTAAAATCTAGTGAGAAAAAACAAAAATAAGTGAATGAAAAAGCACTTGAAAAAAAAAATTGATGCAGATACTTTTAAATTAATAGAAGTTGATTAATTAAAGAGAGAAAAACTGATGTGGATATTAATTTAAATTTAAGATTTGCCAGTATGATTATCTGTTTTAATTATAAAGATTAAAAGAACCATGTCATAATCACACATCATTTTCTGAAAAATAGATTTTACAAGTTTTTGAATATATGTTATATACATGACTATTTGGTCTTCTATTTTTGTATTATTTATATTTGAGATAAAATGTTTTTTCACATGATGAACTTATTATTTAGTGACTTACTTTTTTTGGATTTTGCATTGAACTATAAAGCAATGAATAATGTTTAAACAATAAATGTTTTTGATTATTTTCTATAAAATTTACTGGAATATGAAGAAATAATTTCTGCTTCAGTCATTGCTAGAATCATTTAACATAAATAGAACAAAATATTGGCACTTTGTTTTTAATTGTCAAAATTGTTCCTGAATTTATATGCAAAATAGAAAAAAACATGCACAATTACAGAACATTTGTCAAAATTTACAGAATATGATGGAGATGTTTCTGAAAGATGGCCAGACTCACAGGAATGAAACTGAAGCCGAAGGAAATCCCCAGAAGGACAAAGGTCATGCCAAACATTTTTGAATAAAAGAATGGTCAGAGATTGATGGTAACTCTTGAGAAGAATTGGCTGAAAACATTTTCAGATAAATCTTGGAAAATACTTAAAGATGTCAACTACAGATGCCAAAGTTTAGTGTCATGTATGCTAGTTAAACAATTAGGATTGAACAATTTGTTAATTAACTAATCTCTTAATTAATCATCCATTCTCTTAATCTTTTAATCTCCTAATCTTTCAATGTCTTAATTAATCTTCCACTTTTAATCTTTCAATGTCTTAATCAATTTCCTTCCAAGGAGTGCCTTAGAGCAGAAATTAATTAGAATAATTAATTTTCAAAGTATAGATTCAAGTGCCATAAACAAAATGAAGTCTGTCTTGGAGTTATGAAGGTTTTAAACAAAGTAAATCATTTTTATAATGAAATCTAATTTGGAGATTTCACATCAAGATCAAATTTTAATTATCCTAAAAATAACAAACTATTCAAAGAAATCATTATAGACAGATAAGTGTTTTCATCTTGGCTGTCACAATATTTCAGCTGTTGTACTCTCCAGTCATTTTCAGGTGTCTATCATATTCAATAATGAAACTCAAAATTTCAATTCCAAATGAAACTCTTTACTCAGTGCATAGAGCTAGATTGTTTTCATTTAACTGTCTGTGTTAAGGGACATCTCTTAGTAAACTCTTTCTTGTTAATTAGCTACTATGAGTTATCTCCCTTCACATGGCAGAATGAAAACAATATCCCCTGTTAATTGAATAAAGGGTTCAGTTCAAAATTTTAATAAGTTACAAAATACAATGCATCAAAACAACCAACATGAAGATATTAAGCTGAATAGATCCATGTACAATCAGGAGAATTCTTCATTCTAATAGAAATAATTAAAAGAACCATCTGAAGGAAACAAGTCATATTTTAATAAGCATATTCAACTATTATGATGACTTACTATTATTTTATTAAGTATTGTAGTATAATTCATCTTTTTCCTTAGCACATAAATTATACCTAACAATACCTCATACATAATAGATTATTACATTTTGATCATGAGGAAAGATGCAAAAGACATATCAGAGACACTGTTTGGTTTCAATGAGGAAAAAAAAGAGAAAGAGAGAAGATTGGGGAGATGATAACACTCTTATGTGTTTAAGGTCTACTTCAGTGAAATGGAAAAAATAGTCAAATTTTAAATCTTTTTATTGGTACCCTCTTACTTCTTTATATAGTGACCTGCATTCATATTTACGATTGTTATTGCGATATTTGGTTAAAGTTGTTAAGCTCAAATATTTAACAACAGAGGAATTTCCACAAATATCTTATAGTTATAGAATTCTAAGGAGCTTATTCAATCATTTACTTAAGAATTATGATCAGAAAATTCAAACAGAAAACTATGAAAGGTTCATGGTTATTTCTACTAATCAACTATTATGAAAACTTTATTTTATTTAGCAATTCAACTTTCACATGAAGATTTTCTATTTGAGTTATTTAGAAAACAATTCACTATTTTAGTAAATTGATTATTATTCTATACAGTTGTCTTGCTAAGTAAGTCAACCAACATTTCTTTATAACGATGAAAGAATTTTGAAAAGTAATCTTATTATCATCACTGTAATCTTTGTGCACTTTTATTTTTATCTACATGGTGCGATGGGTAAATTGTCACCATTTTATAGTTTTAATTTTGTACATGTGCTTTGCATTTGATTTTGTTGACTGCACAGTATAGTAAGGTCAGTTGGATATTGTCTGTGAGAAAAAGAGCACCATGATGCAATTCACTCTGGCAGCAATTTGGAAACGGTATACTGTACAAACATTTCACAGTATTTGGGCATCAATCTGAGGAGAGTGCAGAGGATTCAGAAAGAGGTTGTTAAGTCTACTGGTGATTATAAAGGTATTTGGAGTGATCACTAGTGATAGTGATTTTTGCCTCCATTCATCTTCACACAGGGCCCCTAGACTGAACATGGAGGCCTACATCAAGTGCTTTGAGGAAGTAGTGCTACTCTGAGTCAAGACCCTATGGAAGACCCTATGTCTGGCAATAGGACTCTACACCATACCACACAAGCCAGCAAACCCAGTCATGGGTGTTAGACAATTTCTGCGTCTACATCACCCTTTACATCTGGCCACCTGACTGCGACACTGTTGATTATTATGTGTGGGAGCACAAAAGTACAATGTGATATTTATTATCTTTTACAAAGATTTATTATTTATCATTTTACAAAGAAATAAATTTGAAAAGTATTATCTTTATTCAAGAATTTATAAAAAATTGCAAAATTATCAAAATATGTAAACCAACTACAATGCAATATTTATTATATACCATTTTAAAAATGACTATGAAAACAAACATTATCAAAAGTGCATACAGTAATAGCAGTGTCAAGGGAATAACTGTTCTTTTGACACAGTTTTTTTGTGAGACTGAAAGTTAAGCATTGCCAAGACTAACTTTAGTCCATCAGCAATAATGATGTTACTAGAAATTGAAGAAATCACTGCCCACTGGTGAACATAGTCAGTTGGTATCACTAAAGTTCCTTTTCAACTGTCACAGCAATCATACACTAAAGAGAAAATATTTTTTCTGTTTTTGGTAAAACTTAGTTTTAAAAAAATCTACATTAATTAAACTTAAAAAATTAATAATTTGGTAATAGCATATCCAAGCATTTGAGCATGTCAGTATTATGCACATGATTAGGGAGACTTTGATATTAGAGAATAATTCTGAGTACAGGGAATCGGCATACTTGATTGAATAGAGTACAGCATCTTTTGTTATTTTTTTTTTTTTCCTCATAGTAATTAATTGGTCTTCCCAATTATGTGTAAAATCCTGATGTGCTAGAATAGTCCTGATTAAAGATTTGGAATCAGAATAGTTGATTTATGAGTAGAAAAATCTTTGTTACCTGGTTTTATCCTTGCAATCTTTGTGAATACTTAAGAAAAAAAAAAAAGATCTATAATTTCTTGTAGATTTTTTGGTCTATTTCATTGACCAAGAAAAGAACTGTTTGATTGAAAATTATTTTTTCTTTATTTTTATGAAACTTAGAGGAAGAAGATTTGGAAAGAGAGTTTAAAAGCTGCATTTGATGAGCAAGGAGGCAGGTATATTTGTAAGCGCATATAAATACATTTAAGTGCTTCTGTTCAGCTAGTGATTAAGTTCCACTGTAAAATAAAAAGAACACAAACAAAAACAAAGAATTTGAAAAGAAGAAGAATGAAAGAAAAGAGATTGCTTTCAAAGCTGTGATTTCCCAGCCCAAGACTGTTCATTCATAGTAGCACTAAAGA